GACAAACATTATTAGGTGTGCACTTACAGGTGATCCAGGTGTGTACTGAGGCTCCTTGGGTAGCAGGCCTGACATCCTCAGTGCCTGAAGCAAGCCAGCACGTGCATAGGTATATACACAGGTATGATAATGGTACGGTTTCCCCAGCTTCCCTGAGTGACAGGTAGACTGGGCAGTGAAACCGTTTGTGTGAATTTGTTATTGCTCCAACTATGACTGAGGCAGAAATAAATTAATAACCCTTTGTTTGGTTAATATCACTTCATCAATATTTTTGGTAGTTAATGAAGTATGGTTCATAGGTTATTTTCAGAAGATAATACACTCAATTATCAAGGTAGTTATCTTAAAATCAAACATTTACAGAGGTAATTAGCCCTATTCATGGTTTGTCCTGCGTGGACTGTTTGTCATAGTAATCAGTTTCACCACCATATACGATGCTGCTACTCCGGTATGACATCGTCAAATGTTGGGTACATATTTGTTTTGCGGTAAACCAATCAAATCTGGCTGCTTTAATATAACTTGTTGATAAATTTCTGTTGATCTGGAGTTTTTAGAGATTGTTTGTGATGCTAATCAATCAATACACACTGATATCCATGTATGTGTTAACACAATACTCAAACACATTGGTACACAGAACTTGCTGATGTTTATTATTTCTTTAAATATCCTAACTAATGTACTCAGGTATCAGATTGACCTCCTGGGTATTATACTAACACACTTGTGATGCCAGTTGACCATTAATTGTTAATTATAATTATAATTTGATGTGTTTCTGTGTCACTTTTAATTGCTTTGGTGAATTGTTCTCATTTCTACAAAACATTTTCATTTAATAGCAGAATTTTGAGGAGTACAGTATAAGGCTGCTGGACCATCTTTACTCAAAATTAATTACTTCTGAGTTGGTAATACACTGATGATGAAACACATAAAATACTGTGAGAGTAGAGTTTCAAACAGACAACGAAACCAATGGGAAAAAACCCTGTATTAAGGTCAGAGGTCATACTGGTAGAGTGGGTCAGAGGTCGCACTATAAATAGCTAGTAGAGTGAGTCAGAGGTCATACGTGTAGTGGGTCAGATCTAGATGTGACACAGGTCATACTGGTAGAGTGGGTTGGAGGGAATACAAATAGAGTGAGTCGGAAGTTATATTTGTAGTCGGTCAGAGGTTATACTGGTCGAGTGGGTCAGAGGTCATGCTTGTAGTGGGTCAAAGGTCATACTGGTAGAGTGGTTCAGAGGTCATACTAGTAGAGTGAGTCGGAAGTTATATTTGTAGTCGGTCAGAGGTTATACTGGTCGAGTGGGTCAGTGGTCATGCTTGTAGTGGGTCAGAGGTCATACAGGTAGAGTGGGTCAGAGGTAATTTTTGTAGTTGGTTAGAGGTCATACTGGTAGAGTTAGTAGAGTTACTGGTAGAGGATTGTAGATGGCAGGTTGTTGTGTCTGGGTTTGGTACCCCAGTGTTACATTCAGCACATTCCCATCATTTCTTGGCTCCTTGTCACAAATTATCAGACCACTATTACATAACGGTCCTCCGGTGGTAACATGTACGCTCTTTGGTACATTGCTGTCTGTTTCCAATCTGAAAGGCCATTCCTCAGGGCATTGTCTTGTACAATACATATAGCTATGCAGAGTAGTTTGGTTGGCTTCGTTAATGTTTACATTTCCTTGGTGATAGATTTTCAAGGATTCTTTATCAATATAAGATATTCACAGCACATTTGTTGTCCAAATTAGATCCAGCGCTTTTAACAGCATGGCTTAGACACTTAAAAAAGGATGATTGGGCCAAGAGTGGGGGTTAACATGTCTTCATAGATTTGACATAATGTATGTTTATGTTTTGTCATCGCTCTAAGCGATTTTATTTCTGAACAGATTTACATCATTTGCAATGCCTTGTCTGATTCTTTGGACACTTAACATTTGATTTCATAGTTCTTGAAATTACCGAACCTTTTTTAATAATGGAAAAATCATCTTTACACTATCTATTTTTACAATTTAGTCAAATGAGGAATTATCAGGACACATCTTCAGGACATAGAGATATTTACTGGGAGTAATGAACATTTACTGTCAATTTCATTCCAAATCAATTCTATTGCATGGAGGATACAATTAGATTCAACACAATTACTGTCAATCATGAGTAAGTAAAGCTAAGTCAGGATGTTTCTCACTCAGTAAAATTCATCTTGTGAAACATGAACATTTGTGTATATATGAACAGATGAAGACCTGAATAATTCCTCCCTATCTTGCTCTTGTCTGCCTTACATATATGATACCATGCTGATAGTCAAACAACATGTTGAATTTTTTCCAAATGTGTGGTTAAGGCTATCAGATGACCACACCTCTTCAGACCTGCTGGGTCAGGAATTTGGCCTATAAAGAACAGGAAATTCCCCGCAGTGATAGAAAGTCACCCTCAAATCATCTGGGGATTCGTGATAAACTATTTCACAAAAAAGCCTCCTTTAAATTAGAGTTTGTTTCATGCTGCAGAGTTACAAGTTGAAGTACGTTGGATGCTGGTTTAGAGGTTCTTTGACATGGAGAAGCATGACTGGCAGGGGCAGAAGTATCTAGATTAAGAACAGTACCTTAAATTAATTACATGCCCACCCCATCAAGAAAATTTTACATATGAGTTCATCTGGGTCATATCTGACATGTATCTCTTCTGACAAGAGTAAAATCCAGCGGTAATCCTTTTGTATGTTCACTTCTGCGAACAAGCTCTCTTGATTTCTCATTGGCAAATTTAACTTTGCTGTATACATCTATACATTACCTCTTGATTGACCTCGGGGTATAAGAGTCATTTGACTGGAATCCTGAAAGATTCTTTATATGGAACAAATAGTATGTGGTCAAAATTCTCGACACAGTAACGTCATTGTCATCTCAAAAGTTGTCTCAAATAATTTGAAAATTTTAACTTAGTTCATATTATTCAAGATTTGTTCTAGCTATAAAATTTCTGTTATTTCTATTTAATGTTGAAAGTCAGAATCAATATTTAGTAGGTGTGATGTATAAGTAGTTACTCTAGATCAGTACTTCGTAAAGTCATTTCAATGATATTTTATAACTGAAAAGGTGAGTAAATATAGGAATTAGGATTTCAACAAGAACAAATGATTTCATGACAAAGTTGGTCAACATATTATGAAACATTGTGAAATTTATTAAGTCTGATTTCTGTGTCCTTCAATAGCAGAATTTAATGCTAAAACATCAATTTTCAGTTACTCTTTCAATGGCTAGTCAGTAAGTTGTAAAGATTACGATGTCCTGTGTTTAGGTGTTTTAGGTTTTCTAAGAGATTTGTCATTGAATATTAAAGTATACACACACACAACATATGATGCTTTCAGACCAAAGTTTTGTTTAAAATTTTTAATTCAATAGTTTATGCTTTTTGAGACCAAAATAGTTAAGAGTTTGACAAGAGTGTAATGGAGTTTCTGTATTTTTCATACTACATTGTACTAATTGGAGTAAAGGATAACAAATGATCAATAGGTTAGAGAAATCAATATCTAATTAACTGATTTCAAGATGTGGAGGTTGCACTCTAGCCATTGGTAATTATCTTAAGTAAGAACTTGAGTGTTCTGAGAGTTGTCTAAATGTTTGGAAAAAAGGCAGAGCATGATGAGACAAAACCAAAACCCTGGAACAACTATCACAGCTATTGTAAGTGATGATGTAAGACAATGATAATTCCAGTTTTAATACTAAATAGACTTTTTGCAATCTGTAGCTTTTCATTCAATAATAATCATCACGATACATTGCAAAATATCGGGATTGTCCATAGATCATTTTAAAACAAAGTTTTAATCAAAATTTTAAATTCCTTTAAATGAATGTTTATAATTAAGTCTAATACAATCATAAGTTTCTCCTTTAGAAATTGATTGAATTGAGACTTCTTTATAAAGAAGATTGCATTTTCTTGTCAGCCCCTGACTCACTAGCTATCTTGGTGTGAGTATTCTTGTAGTTTTTGATAAGAGTCATCAAGTCCACAAAATATATGTTAAAAGGGGTAATTACCACAACAAATATAACAAAGATGTAACAAGGTGTGTGTCTCTGACTCATAAGATACAAGCGCTTATGAGTAACAAGTGTTATTGTGCCTTTTGGTTTTTGTGTGTGTATATAAACTGGAATGAGGAGCTGTTACGATATTGGCAGATATGATAACATTGATAAGAATCAAATTAGGTTTATAATGTACTAAAATTGATTTTTAACCGAAATTTGGACTTTATTTTGATGAAAGTATATTCAATTATCAATTTCATTAATTTTTTTTATTTTTTTTTATGTGAATCATTGATTATTGAATTTATAATTATAGCGTGTGATTGATCCGGTCTATTATCTCGTATTGTTAACACACACCATCAATCTTGTTCCCGTGCAATGAAATTGATCGGAAGTTTTCATCATTGCATTTCCACGGAACAGTACATATCATAAGGTTTGGTAATTCAGCAACAATTTGCCTGCTGCAGTGGTAAACACTCGCGATCGGCTACTGTGACAGATTAGCCAAATTGATGAGTGGAGAAACACACAGCAAACTATGCAGGCTCTTCTCGGCCAAATACACAGGGGATTCTTTTATTTGATTTGTTTGAAAGGAGTTAAATTTGATTGGTTCAACCTGTCTTTCAATCTGACAGACCCAATCTGCAAAGAACGCATTATGGGTCAATCATGAAGACCGGTGTCTCTTTTAATTGCATTGTACAATGTGTTTGATAAAATTTAAGGGTGAACATTGTAAAATGTGTTGCACTGAGAGTCTGTGACAGGTCCCTAGCATAAAACTGTACTGTTTTTAGTAAAGTATAATGACACAGACTTATATTTCATGGAACCTATCCTAATAAATAAGGTTTAATAGTTCTAGCTCCATAAGAGTACTGATAACAGGTTACTTACCATTAATGTTTAACAAATAAATCCATCACATTCAGCGTTAAAAAAAGTCCAATCCACTGACACAGCAATATGCACTATTATAAGAGACTGCTACCTCCAATACTCCACACAGGGGTGAGGGTGGCGAGCCATTGCAGCCCTTGTGTGAGCCACTACTCCAGTGTGTACTAGGGGATAACACTGGTGTATTGGAGCCTCTCCGATACTACCACCTGATTGATCCAATAGGAACACTTCTCATGCAGCCAGTGATACAGAGGCTGGGTACAGAGGCTGGCCTGCAGATGGACCTGTTACGCTGGGGATGAGGAGGGAACTATCTACTAGTGGTAGCTCTGTAACTCAGGCTCCAGAACCACTGTCATCTCACCTCAGTATCTGATTCCTGTCTTATCAACAGGCGGATTATCAGGGTGATTTACATTGATTATATTGCTTATCATCTCGGACTGTTGCAGGCACCCCAGGACAATTAATCACTTTGTCAAAGGTTTAGTGTTAGATTGAGTTTGGCATGGTAGTGTTACTCAATTATACTCCTTGTTTTTATTTATATATAATTTCATTTTGTTCTCATCAATTACTATACAACGTAGTACAAGATGATTGTGGCTAATTCTGTTTGGTGCCAACAATATCGTTTTACATTATACTTGTCTACATGCATATGTTTTCTTTTATAAAACCCTGTTGGTTTACGCTATACCGCATCAAACAAAACGTTTGTTCATGTGATGACTTGTAAATTTATGCGTAAAATACTTTATCACATGTTATGAACATTAAGGATGGGTAGATACACCTGATATCACTTTTTACAGGGTTCAGGATACAGGCCTTGAAAAATCCCTAAAATTGATGAAAAGGCCCTAAAAGCCCCTATTAATTTTACAAAATGTTTCAATTTTACTGAAAACTCTCTCTGAAAAGGCCCCCAAAAAAATACAAAATGTTACAATTTTACTGAAAAAAACTCTCTGAAAAGGCCCCCAAAGCCTCAAATTGTCATTTTGATATTCCTGTAACAACCCTGTTTCAGCATAATCACTTTGTTTTAAATAATGAATCTTGCTGTTGCTTTAATTTAATTTTACCAATAGTAATACATTAATATACAAAAAACAGTTAAACAGAAAATAAACAAAAGATCCTACAGTGTTAAATCATGCCTCCTTTTTAGATTTGCATTAGTTCTGCAGCTTTAGCATATGTTTCATGAAACGGGAAACTAACACAGGTCACAGTAATTTTGAGAAGAAATTTTCGCAAAGATATATTTCGCAAGTACATCGTTCTGCCTTCATAGTGATTCTCCACTTTTACAAGGCTCAGAATTCTTCGCCTTGTATTGCGTTCTGTCTTGAGTACGATTCTCATCTATTCCAAGGTTCAGACTTCTCGTCTCTGTCCAGGTTTTCTCCAGAGGATGGTCGGAACATTTACAAGATCCGATAGCCTAGTCTCGGTATTAAGTTTTTCTCCTGAGGATGATTCTCGACAGTTACAAGGTCTAGCCAGTCAGTTTAATTTACCCCTCCAGCTCGTCTCCGTACAATTGGTGGATTTATGGGCGAATAGCTTGTTGTAAGCTAGTACGTTAGATTCCATGAGATGTGACATTACATAATGTCACAGTTTGTGTTATATCACACAGCTTCATCTTACAAATCACAGGTGATGTGAGGAAGAAATAAATGTAGCAAGATATTGTCATGTATCCATCAGTTTTGAGAATATGATCTGGTATGATTTCAGAATTGATAGAATGTGGAGGTTTTATTTCTTCAAACTTCTCTTTAAGAACAGATTTTCCTCCTAAAGGTCTTGCAACAGGAACGTCAGATGCACTTTGGGTTATAGATTTTGAGATATATGTTCATGTAAAGGCCATACTGGTATTCTGCTGTGAAATTAAAGACATTTATTTCTGTGATAATTAATGGTTTGATTGGATTAGAAATAACAAGTCACATATTAGAGATATGAAACAGTTCTCTAAGCTGTAATAAATCTCCCCAATTTGTTGATGATTTTATGTAAGTCTGTAAAGTATTAAATGTGGTTATGTCGGGATTACGTTTGTGTAATTTAGGTTAGACCATGTTGCCTTTGATACAAGATTCTGTGTGAGCCTGATGAAGCACCAGGACTTAGCCTGAGTAATTCAAGCTGTGTGTCGCACAATAAAACATGGAGGACTCTGACATAGATCGTAGAATCAAAGTAAGTACCATAAGTATGTCCTTGTGTGCCCATAAAATAACACTAGTTCACACAAGGGGTCTTAAAGAAAACCATTTGATCAACATTTCATAAATAAGTGCTTTATGAACCTTGCATATCAAAATGCATTTTATAGTAGATCTGGAGCCATAAAGTTCTGGCCTTCACTAATCAGGTTGTTCCACTATATCAAGCCTTCACTAAATCAGGTTGTTCCACTATATCAAGCCTTCACTAAATCAGGTTGTTCCACTATATCAAGCCTTCACTAAATCAGGTTGTTCCACTATATCAAGCCTTCACTAAATCAGGTTGTTCCACTATATCAAGCCTTCACTAAATCAGGTTGTTCCACTATATCAAGCCTTCACTAA